CTGCGTGTGTGGGTTTTCTCCAGGTACTCCAGCTTCCTTCCACAGTCCAAAAACCTGCAAGTTAGGTTAATAAGTGATTATAATTTGACCTGAAGTTTAAGTGTGTTTGCTTGGTTCTTTGTCTTGTGTCTACTGGCCCTATGTACCTTGCCTCTCACCTGTTGACTGTCGCACAAACATGGTTAGCTACAGAAAATGAGTGAGAGACAACTCGTGCAAAATGGTTCAGCGATTAGAAGCATACACCATTTCAGTTATGGCATTTGGTGTTTTTGTGGCTGCTGTGTGAACTTTGATTTTACACGTTCCGTGTTTTTGAAACGTTTCACTCGATGATAGTGCAGGCACAGACTCCAAATGAGATTTTTCAAAAAGCAACAGCAGCATCCAAATCAGGACAGGTCCAGGCTGTACTCTGGTTTAACTCAAAAACAGATTTGATTCCGTGACTCTGCCAGCCCGTATCCATGCTTTCCAAAGGCTGCAACATGTGGGAGAGGGAAAACTGAGGCTTATGACAGTGGAATGTGGAAAGCAAGCAGCTGAGGTTTGAGAGAATGCTTCGCCTAAAACAATAAAGATGGGTTTAGAACAGGTTGAAAGTGGGGAAAGGTGGCAGAGGAACAAAGCTGCTTGTGCTGTCTTGAAATGGCTTTGAAGGGGAATCTGCAGAGAATTGATGCATCGAGATTTTGCAAGTAGTCTACCTATAAAACTTTATGGGGCTTTTTACAATCTGCTCCCTTCCTCTTTCTTAGAGATTTTTGTGATTTCGTTTATTTGTTTGGTTCATTTTTGTGACTCATTAAAAGGGTATTGACTTTACATCAGTTTAATACAGCTTTTATTTTATAGTCTTGGCATTTCTAAAACATTACGAGCTGTGAATTAGAAATCAGGCACAGGTAGAGTGCATCACATGACAAGCATTTAAAAAGTGCTAATTGTTCCTCAAACTTAAGTTTCACAAGTAGATAGAAAGTGAGAACCAAAAACCACACACTGCAACATGTATTCAGGTTGTAATTAGTATGAATAGCAGTTTTATACAAGCATATTTTGCTCAGCCTTTACTAATTTATTTTTAAATGATTCAAAGGCCTGCAGCCACCAAGACAAATGTTATTGTCTGTAGCAGCAGGCATCTTTATGATTATACCAGAACAGGAAGCAGAGGGGTTATTATTACACTCACACGTTAGCCTACTGTTTCTTCTGGGTACTTGTCAGTGTTTTAAAGAAGTGGATTAATTAATTCCTTAAATGGTCATAGACATCTTCTATATTGGTACCATAAATGTCCACTGTCCATATAAAATGAGGAAAAACAAACACAACATGGTGTTTGCTTTCATTCCTTCATTCTTTAAATATATTTTTGTTAAAGTAACGTGTTAAGTTGACTTCATTACTGGTAGCTGTGTTGAACAAAAACTACTTTAATCTTTTGTGTTTCTGTCAATCCTGCCATACATATGGACTTCACCCGTTCCATGACCTGTGAGTAAGGTTCAGTTAAAAAATATTAATAAACAAATAAAATTGACATTTCTAATGGAATACGGGATTTTCTTTTCTTTCTTTTTTTTTCAATCTGAAGAGTTAGTCATCTGTGCTTACATTTATGGAGATAAAACTTTTCACATTTGACATAACATGCTGCCATAATGCCAGATCCAAGGTTATTTGACTTTCATTAACAAAAGATGAGGTAACGTATCTGAAAAAGCTTGTAGCTTTGATCTAAGACAGATTGAATAAACTGACTTTTATTCTTTTTCTCTGTACCACAGACGATGAATCTTGTATCTATTTCTGTCTTTTACTGTTGTGCGTTTGTAACAAACTAAATGCCCCTTTTGTTTGAGCTCTTTAGAAAAAGATATATTTTATTCTCCCATTCTTTCTTTAATTTTTTATTGGTCTATTGGTCCTCAGTCTTCCACATGGAGTTGACATAATTACAGCTTTATGTATTCCCCTGGATAATCATAAAAAGATCACCCTGTTAATTTCTTAACTCTGAACACATTACACAGAATAATTGCTCAACTTCTCAGCTGCACTGTATGCAGTGTTAAAATGCTGTCAAAAATTAAACACTATGATTTTATATTTAACTTTCTGTTGATTTTGATCGTGCCTGGGGAGTCAAATAATTGTAATTCTTAAGTATTACTGCATGACTAATTAACAAGTGTAGGCCAGTAATTCAGTCTTAACCAGTAACTGTTGGGGTTGATACGGAGTGTGTGTCATGCAGTAAATTAAGTTTCTTTCCCCTGTGGATTAACATTGAAGGAACACAAATATAGTCATTGATAGAGTAGCTGTAAAACCAGTAGCAGAGTATGATTGATGCTTTTATGTTCCTCCTTTTATCAACCAAGCAACTTTGGATGGTGGTAGACAGTGTGAGTACGCGCTTAGCAACTGTGCACATTTGTTCCAGTTTGCACATGGTTGGTTTCCCCCAGACAGACTTGAAAAGAACCATTATCGAGCCTCATTAGGCTCAAGGCCAAACTGCAGGAACAGAACATGGACAGGTCCAAGGTCCAGGTCAGCAGCCTTCACTAATCATGCGATGTATGTAGAAATGATAACGATAAATGGTTTATTTTAGAATACACAAAAGGGTGTGTGGACTAAATGTAATAAAAATTTAGAAAAGAGGATTTGACATTTGTGGAAATTAATGCACGAATGCCTAACTTCTAGATGATTTTTTTTAATAAAATGAAATTCTTCCTTTAAATCAAACTAGCCTGTGACTTAATCAATGACAGTTTAATTTATTTAGTATCAAGTGAGATCAACCCTTTTTGCACGCAGAAAGGCCTCTTAGATTAGTGAAATCACAATGCCGTGAGATGGAGCTAACTAAACTGGTAAAGTCAAACTGTAAGCAGAAGTATGAGCACTAATCACATATAGCGTCACAGTACATGGGTACTCAGGAGCACACAGATGGAACTGATAACAAGTGTTTCTGCAGCGTGTGGAATTGGCAGCTTCTCTTGCCTCGGTTCTCCAGGAAATCCAGCCAGTGTGGAGAGGAAATGAAATATGTGTGCGTTGGCTTAAAAGCAACTGCCAGAGGATTGATCCGAACTGTTGATGATGTGCTCTTCTTTGATGACCCTTTGATTAACTGTACTATTTGAATTTTATTTTGAAGCATATTTACAGGTTTTACTTCAACATCTTTGGCCTCCATCAACAAGAATTTGTGATGAGCGTTACATATGTAGATCACTTTCATAACGGCTTTAATTGATTTTATTCATTATGAGACTGTGTCAAATAAAGCCCGTGCTTCATTATAGTCATGATGATTTTTAGAGTCTTGTTAGTGTCTCTGATGGTCCTTGAACTGAGATTATTACACCATATTGAGAGACTATTAAAATTAGCACTGCCATTTTCCCTCAGAGGCTTTTAGAGCTCATTATAATAAAGTGAGAGATTTTCATAACAAATCCCCCCAAAAAACACAAAAACCACTGAATCATTTCACTGTAATGATGACTGAATATTACTTTATTTACCATAGTGCAGGAAATCCTCTGGAACCATTGTGTGATCAAAAGATGACAGAGATTATTATTATTATTATTTTTTTGTTTATACACGTTTTTTTCGCCGGGTTGTTTTTAATGAATTTTTTTCTTTTTTTTTTGATGAGTTTGTCAATAATACTAATACCCGGAGGAGGACACAATTAAAAAAAAATACTAACTCTATTTACAATTGTTAATTTTTTTGTTCTTATATATCCAATGAAATATTTGACAATTTATGTTCTATCCATGTTGGCCACACTGGAATCACTTTGTTTCTAATTTGTCTGGTTTATGCAGCTGCAAGCTGGCTTTAATAATTTGTAGAGTTTTTACTTTTACTTGGAGACAGTTTATTTTGTTTTATTTTAATTTTTTTTACCGTGTCCTGTCCGGCAGTGTGGCACTCAGAATTGTTGTCTGAGTGCCATGGTGAGGCCTGACAGTTTTGCTTTCACAAGTGGAGCATCATGGCTTTCACCGCAATACTCCACTTTATTTAAACTTAAACTTTATTAGAAATTCTTTGGTCTTGGAAACATTTTTTTAAAGATTTTCAACAACGTTCTAATTATAATCCGAGTGGTTTAAATTAATATATTTTAGGATTATAATACACTTTTATTGCACTAGTATAGGTTATGGTGCGTTCACACCGAACGCGATTTCAGCGTCAGGAGCCTCAGGTTTACATACAAAGTCTATGGTGGACGCGCTTCAAGCAACGTCAGGAGGTGCTGCGGCGCCTCAAGCGCGATTAGAGCAACGCGATTTGAACAATTTGAACCATCTGAGCATTCGACGCACTGAGGTGCAAATTGCTGAAGTTAGAAAATCTGAACTTTTGCAGCTCGACGCGCAG